TTCAGAGGCGACGATTATAAAATCGATCAGAGACTTCGGTGCACAAGTTTCCCAATACCAGGTACACTGATGCACGCTTTGATGGTCGAAGAAGGTATTCATAATTGACAGCTCGTTGTCTGCACAAAACCGCAATAACTTCATGCCGTTATGGTCAAGGTCGCTAGGGCCGTTCTTTTCAGTTAGGTCTTTCAACTTTCAGCGTCTTCCTCCGACATGCACATTAAAATCGCTCATCGGAATGATGGACTCCATAATCGACATTTCGTACAGGTCACAATTCACTCTCAGTGAAGGAATATTCTACCTCCAAACTGACAACATGGACAAGGGAAACAATTTAGCCTGTTGTAGTTTCGGTTTGACGATTACCACTGTTCTGCTGAACTACTCTGCGATCCAGGTTCGGTTGTACCAGAACATTAACACCGACAGAGCGCTCGTTGACACCTGAGTAGAACAGCTTCCATTTGCAGAGGTTCCGAATTCAAGCCTTTGCGCTTCGTTGACGATAGTCCTACTATGTCGAGTTGGCACCTTGCAGCCTCATCAACTAGCTCTTGTCCTTTCCCCCTGAGTGAGAATATGTTCCAATTTTCGACTGTGAACTTGATTTGTCGGTATCATTCCGACGAAACTTTATCTGACGTGCCGTGATGGTAATGTGGTGTCTGCCCCCTGTATTCAGAATGGGTAATAGCTATGTTTGTGACTGGTAGCTTTGTCGTCGTTTCGTCGATCTTCGGCAGCCGCTGTCGTGCAGCTACGCCCCCGCCTGCCAGAAGGCCGTAAACAGGTTCTGTTCGCTGACAATTTGAAGTCTGATTCAACCACCCAACAGACTACGTGGTCCTTGGAAATCTGGTCGAAGACCGAACTGGCATATCGTTCGACAGTGGAAATACTATGATGGACAGGTTGCTAAGTTTTATGGGAGTCATCACCCGTCTTCTTTTCTTCCGGACTTGCGACTGGTAGCGACGCACATATTCAGAAGTATGAGAGCATAAATGTAACGTTAATGCACAAAGCTGAATTTTTCAGTTTTCAATCATCAAAGCGGTACGAAAGAAAATTTTTCACAGTCTTTTCCAAACGTTTCAGTCAAGCATTGTGCGAGATTCCGCTCTGTGCAGCACATGAGTT